TTATTCAATTCCAACAATATGAAATATCACTTCTGCTCCCTGAAAAGTTGTTTGACTTTTATCATTAGATACCAAAACAAAAAAAAAATCGATGAAGATACAATGACCTAGAATTGAACGAATCAATCTAAAATATATTAAGCTAAAATCAGGAATGCAGAAGTCGGAAATCAGCGCAGACGTAGTGGACTCGACTAGATCTCATTGCTTCGCTTTTCCCTATCTCCTTGAGAAATTGTTTGTGTATTTAATACTTTAATTTGTGCCTATATATTTATTTATGGTTGAATTAACAGTTTATTGCAAGTTGGTTATGTGCTCATTGATTTCGGTTAGAGGTAAGGTGTTCAAAACGTAGGTTATTTTTAGTTTTTATAAAAATGTTCAAGACGATGTAGTCTTGGTAAGTTATACATGCATATATACAGATCATAAAATCTATACACGAAAGAAGGTTATATTGCTGGTTGACCGAAACCTGATGGATTGACTTGCACTTTTTGATAATGAAAGGTAGAATTGCAAAAAAAAAAAAAAAACACTTGGAAGGTTGATTTGCAGAAAATCCAAAACAAAATTTCATACAAATCAATCAATTTAATTCAACAAAGATAGAATATGTTATAAGTCAATACAATCATCGTGCTCTTCTAAAGCAAAATAACTAAATCTTAAAATTTAATTATAAAGAAATATTTTGATAAAAAATTATATACATAATCAAAATGTACATAATTGGCATCTATATAAATTATAATATCATGAAAATGAATCAATTTATAAGTTTGATATAAGTTTTAATCAAATATATTTGACTTAGGGTTTAGGGTTAAGAAGACTTCATTACAAGACTTCGTGTGTAGACTTCAAAAAAAATCGGAAATTCAAACTTAAAATAGCGACAATTCAATTTTTTTAACTAAATGGCAGGTACTAGATTTAACAGGACTGAATTTGTTGGTAATTGAACAATTCATCGGTTATGTAGGCTTCTTTGTAGACTTCAAAAGAAGTCTGAGATTCAAATTAAACCTAGCGGAAATTCGAATTCTTTAAACTAATTGGGTGGGAACCATAATTAACCATACCAAATTTGTTGATAATTGCATAATTTAATCGGCTATGTAAACTTCTTTGGAAAACTTACTTTAAAAGAAGTCTGAAATTCAAATAAAATCTAGAAGAATTCAGCAAGGATTCATTTTTTTAATTAATCAGGATATTTTATCTTCATATATAGGGATATATAGAGAGTTTAACCTAATTGTGTATAAAAGAAAATCTCTCTCTCTCTCTAAAACAATGCCACCTCTCCTCTCCCTCCTCTATGACCATGAATCTTCTCTTCTTCCTCTTTCGCCATCAATCTCATCCCCCTCCTCTCTTTCTTGCCATTAACCTCCTCTCCTTTGCCGGTTGTGGTTGTGGTAAGCCGTTCGTTGGTGTACTTCACTTTCTCGTTCTTTATCACGTCTTTCTCTTTCTCTGTCTAATTTGTTTTTGCATATTTGAGTTTATTGTTGCAGATTTGAGTTTATTGTTGCAGATATGAGCTAATTGTTACCTACCTGAATGTATATATTGTTACAAATTTAAGCCTATTGTTGCATATCTATTTTTACTGTTGCAGATCTGAGTTTATTATTGCAGTCTGCAACCTTTTCCTTTTTTTTTAATTTCTGCAAATTCGAGTTTCAACATTTTCCTTTTCTTATTGTTGCAAAAATGAGTTTATCGATATTTCTTGTTTTGTTTTACAGATCTCAACGAAGTCTTTGCTTGTCTCCACCGGATTTCAGTAATTTTAATGTTCAAAACGGTAATTATATGGCACAATTGGTCAGATTATGTGTATCCAGGGTTTAATGTAAATTTCGTATCATACTTCATTCATAGACATCCGATTCAGACTTCAGTCGGATACATATCTTTCAGAATGCAGTTGCAGATTTTACTTTATATGTAATATTGTATTGCGTTGAATGTTTTGTAATATGATCCTAAATTACGTATAATTTTGTATTCTGCAAACTATAGAGACTTCGCTGTTAGACTCGAAATGCTACAATAATTCTTTCTTCACCCACATTAGAAATTCAAACCACATTAAAAATCAATGTCGAATAAGTAGACTTCACATGAATCTGCTACTAATAAGCTAAATACCTACTAACACAAAAAAATAATTCGATATTTGTATAATGTTGTGCATCCAACAAGGCAACAACTGTTTCAATTGTCTCTTCCTGCTCGCCATGCACAGCGCAAAGTAAACAAATTCTATTGTAGTATACAACGTTATCAATCACAGCTACGTATAACGTATATCCAATTATATTATACCTCTCTTACTACAACTTCCACAAAATGTGTTATTAAGTAACCCCTTGCAGAAACTCTCATGAACCCTGAGTCAACCTACCCTGACCCATATTAATGTTTTAAAATTCAAATTAGTGACGGCCGTTTTAGTCATATCTATAGCATAATAAGCCCATGGTGCTTTTTCCATCTCCTCTTCTATGGTATTCAGCTGAAGAGAGTTATTCATTTTTTATATAAGATAAGATAAAAAGTAAAGTAATAACAAAAAATAAATTAAATATCTTCAAAAATCGAATATCAAGCAGATTATGCAACTTTAAATTATAAATTAGTTTTAAAATTGTAAAAATAATTTATTAATATTATACAAACATATAATACAACAAATAAAATGCATATGTTGCTTATTCTAAAATTGTTTTAAATTCTCGTGCATTAGTTTATAGAATCTCAATTTTCTAATTTTCTGCTATAATTTAAATTATATGATTTAATATTAAATTTTCGAAATAATATTTTTTTGTCAAGTTTAGAATTATTTAAATGTGAGTAAAAACTAAAGTAATCAAAATAAATAATATTTTAATAGAACTGTGTCTGGTAATTTGTAGAAAATTAATAAAGGCCTAATAAAATTTTATTCCCTCTGTTTTATAAAAGTATCATTCTAAGGTTTAATTTTTATTTTATAAAAATTGTCATTCTACATTTTCAACACAAAATTTAATATAAAAATCAAGTTTCAATCTTATTAATTTAATGTTTCAAGCAGAAAAAATGTTAAAATAATAAATTTAATGATTTTTTTAATTTATGTAAAATGTGTCAAAATGAGCGTGAAACAGATGACTAAATATTGTTCAGTGAAGTGTTCCTGTTTTAGTAGAATAAACTAAATAAAACACAATTTAAGTTGCCCGGTTGGGCACACGATTTAAGCCCGAGAATATGGAAAGGTTCAAATGTCGGTTCATAACCGATTGAGGATCGGGTTTAGAGAAAACCGGAACAGTGTGACCCGACGTCTGGAAGACTGGAACTCTGGATTCTTCGCTTCAAAGGGTCAAAATGGACTAAAATTCTACATTTCTACTACACTAGTTTTGTAATTAGTAGTAATTAAAATAATTAAGAGACATAAGCGAATCTTTAGTGGAAACTTTTGACATTCATGGAATTATGAAGTGCCTAATATTTGTAACGTCTCAGAGAATTTTCTCTCCTAATATTAAATAGGGGTGGACAAAATATCTGTTATATCTGCTTTGAACCGATATTTGCTTCGATTCGATTCGAAAAATCCGGATATCCGTAAAGCTAGCAAAATGTAATATCCGTACAAAACGGAGCAAATAACAAATATGTTTTTAGACAACGTCGGATATCCGATCCGATCCGTATCTTTATAAATTTATTATATATTAGTATATCTTATCATGTATATATCAATTATATTATAAATTTTTATTAATATATTTTCGGTTTTCTTCCTAAATTTCTAATTGTTTATAAATTATTTAGATTATATAAAATAAATGACTAAATAACCATTCATAAAAAATAAATAATATGTTTAAACTTAAAATATATTAATAAATAATAATTTATTTGATATTAGTTAATAAATATCAACAAAAGTTTTTAGTAAAGTTTAATATTTAAAGTTTCAAATAGTTAATATTATTTTTAAATATAAAATATTATTTTTTCCTTATCTTAATTTTATATGTTTAATTTTTATAGATTTTTTTATAAAATAAAATGTTTTCTTTTAATTATTTTCACTTAACAGTTTAGATAAAAAATATTTTTTATAATAAAAATTGATGTACTTTCAGTTTTGTATATATTAAACGGATCAAACTAAATATTCATAAATATCCGTAAATATCTATAAATACTTATAAAATTTTCGAATATCCGAAAATCTAAATATCCATATATTTCTGAAACAAATCAAATTATTAAATTAAATATCCGTTAAAAACAAAACGAACAGCAAATAATTAAAATTTTCCGGATATCCCATCCGCGCCCACCCTCGCTAATATACTTTACTTACTCGAGGAGAGTCCTCATCTTTTCAAAGTTCTCTGTGTTTTCTCTCCGCCGATTTCTTCGTAGTCGTCTTCTAAGCCATGGTAAAATTCTAGTTTCGTCTTCTTTCCCTGAGATTTCGCTGTTTATCTTGCACCGTTTCGGTTCTTAAAGATTCTCCGCGAGTTTTGGAAATGTAATATGGCTTTTGGTTACTGATGAAGAAAATCATCGGAAAAAAAACTATAAGAATTGCATGCAATAAGTTACAAATTCAGATCTTGTAATTGTCGTTTCTTCTGCCATAACTCCATAATAGGACCATCTTGTAAAAGTTTGATTAATGATATGATCCTGATAGCCGAAAAACTCAGGAGTTTGAGTTGGTGAATACCCTTCGAAATCTTGGTTTGCCTTTTTGGATTCTTGAATCTTGGATTGATAAGTTACTCTTGATTCTTGGATTCTTGAATTAATGCTGGATATAAGCTTATTGTAAGCGTTTTGCTTAACTCAAATGTTCTATCATAAGCCTTTTTGCTCAATTCGTATGTCCTAATTAAGGACCATCTCTTTTGATTGGTGATTTGCAATATCTTATTATCCTTATGCTTTCTTGTGTTTCTTTTTTTACATAGGAACTGCCTCCAAAAGTGAAAAACATCTTGCTTCTGGATTCTGAGGGGAAACGTGTAGCGGCTAAGTATTACACAGATGACTGGCCAACAAATACAGCAAAACAAGCTTTCGAAAGAACTGTCTTCACAAAGACTCAAAAAACAAATGCTCGAACCGAAGGTAGACTTCGTCATGAATCCTGTTTTAGATACTCACTTTCTTGTTGACTATCTTCCATCAAATCTGATTATGTCTGCATCGACTTGTAGTTGCGGATTTGTATCTCTTATTTACAAGCTAGTTCTTGATATGTAGTGGAAGTGATAGCACTGGAGAACAACATTATCGTTTACAAATTCGTGCAAGATCTTCATTTCTTTGTTACTGGAGGTGAAGAAGAAAACGAGCTTATCTTAGCTAGTGTGCTTGAAGGACTCTTTGATGCAGTGAACCTCCTCCTTAGGTTAATTCCAATCACAGCTTCGGATTTAGTTTCTATTGTACTCTACATTAATCCCAAAATTAGCACACCATTTTTCGAACTTTTCTTTTCTTTCAAACCCAAATTTACAGAGGCAATGTTGATAAGAGAGAGGCTTTGGACAATCTTGACCTCATCTTTCTATGCTTTGACGAAATTATAGATGGCGGGTATGAAACTTTTTCTTTCTAGAACCATTAGATAAATGAATGAACTGTTTCATATGTTATGTCTGATCTCTAATACTATATTCTTACATCTCAGTATTGTTCTGGAGACGGATGCAAATGTGATTGCTGCAAAAGCAGGGATCAATAGCGCTGACCCTAACGCTCCTCTATCTGAGCAGGTACCGTTTTTTTATAAAATGTTATCAGTTTTCTTGATAATATATACACATCTTCTTGATACAAACAACCCTTAAGATTTTGTTACACTTCTCTTGTGGTTTTGTTTCGCTTCAGACGATAAGTCAGGCATTCGCGACTGCAAGAGAGCATTTTGCAAGGTCACTTCTGAAATGATGTGTGTGTGTTGCTGTTTGGTTATGTTGTTGTTGTCGTCTCAATATGAACTGTGAAACTGTGAATGTGTGTTTCGTCTCTTTGTGCTTTAAAGAGATTGGGATGTGAGAAAGTAGAAGTTACTTTGGACTTTACAGATGTTTTACACTTAGTGCCAAACAATTCTTTGTTTGTTTACTCATTTTCACAACGAGTTTAGGTTAAGTAAAGATATCAAATATCAGAAATTTCTTAAGAAGTACATAAACTTTATGGTAGTGTGTTGTTGAAGTAATTTCAAAACTACTTTTCAGAGAAAGATGTTTTTAATATATCATTATTGGTATATTCTTTCATCAAAGTGGCCAAAATCCTTTAAAAACCCGATTATTTAACTTTAGTTAAAATACAATATTATATTCCTTCAAATGTACGACTACTTAAAGCATTTTTGGGATCGTGAAATTATGATGATTATTAAAAAAAGGCATTATTTTAATTAGCGAAATTCGTTAGGTTAAGGATACTATTTTCTTCTGTTAATCCAATTAACTGGCTTATGCATTTTTTTTCTCCGCTTTAATAAATTGGTTAGGGGCACAGTTGTATAAATAATTTGTATTTGACAATTTAGAAAAAAGAAAAAAAATTAACAAAAATGAGAGTAATTAAAAAAATAAAAGGATTACGTGAAAATGTCGACATAATTGGCGTGTGTCTACAATATTCGGGGAATTTATATAATTGTCTCTCTTGTCAAAAAGTCTAAACCCGTTGTTCAACTGCAGCCTCCATCACGATGTCGACATTACTTGTATCTTTCTCCAACTTGTTTTCGTCTGCAATTATCCTATCGGGATTCTCATATTTAATTCTGATGCATGTCTTGGGTTTACGAGGATTCTTCGCAATTTCTCCACTTTCTATGATCCCGACGAAATCTTAAGACCCCTTCTCTCAATGTTCCTCATCGATGTTCGTCATCTCCGATTTGATTTCAGCCTTTCGATTGAAATTTCTGATTTTGAATTACGGGAAACTGATTCTGGGTTTTGTTTAGGTTCTTTGGAAACTGCTTCCACTATTCTTCTTCGGATCAGATAGAGATTCTCTCTCAGGTATTTCATCGAACACTTCATCAACTATTCATTTTTAAATTAAAAGATTCATACTTTTTTTCGTTCTTCTCAATTCAAAGTCTTAGTCTTTGCATGTGATTTGAAGTTTGATAAAGTAGAGGAGTCTCTAGGTTCTCGCAAATTTCTCATTGATTGTAATTTAATTAATTTGTTCTGATATGTTTTCATTTGTTGCAATGGTCCTCTGTAAATTCAGCAACAGAGTCCATTTTGCAGATAGTTCCTGAGACGATGACTGCTTCATCGTCAAGCATCCTTTGCAATGCCGGAGAATCAGACCTTTGCCGCGACGATTCGGCTGCGTTTCTACTGAAACTAGTAGCCATTGCTTCAATTCTCTTAGCTGGAGCCGCAGGTGTAGCTATACCACTCATCGGCAGAAACCGCCGCTTCCTTCAAACCGACGGTAGCCTCTTTGTGGCTGCGAAAGCCTTTGCGGCCGGCGTGATTCTCGCCACGGGGTTTGTTCACATGTTAGCCGGCGGCACGGAAGCTTTGACCAACCCCTGCTTACCGGAGTTTCCTTGGTCGAAGTTTCCGTTCCCGGGGTTCTTTGCGATGGTCGCTGCTTTGATCACTCTGCTTGTTGATTTCATGGGGACTCAGTACTATGAGAGGAAGCAAGAGAGGGAAGCTATTGACTCTGATGAACATGGTTATGAACAGTCGCCGAGTATCGTTGTTCCTGTGGCTGCGGAAGGAGTGAGTGATGATAAAGTGTTTGGAGAAGAAGACAGTGGAGGGATTCACATTGTTGGCATTCATGCTCATGCTGCGCACCATAGACATAATCACGCTCAAGGACATGGTTCATGTGAGGGACACCGTAAAATCGACATTGGTCATGGACATGGACATGGTCACGGACATGGACACGCGCACGGGGGTTTGGAACTCGGGAATGGAGCCAGGCATGTCGTTGTTTCTCAGGTACAGAATCTCTGTTTCTTGATTCTTGTAGAGGTTCAAGAATTTGTGTGTTTTCATGTTCAAATCTCTGTTTTGTTGATTCTTGTAGAGGCTCAAAAATTTGTGTTTCTCAGGTTCAAAATCTCTGTTCCTTGTTTCTTGATTTCTTGTAGAGGTTCAAAAAATTGTGTTTCTCAGGTTCAAAGTCTCAGTTCCTTGTTTCTTGATTTCTTGTATAGGTTCAAGAATGTGTTTCTCAGGTTCAAAATCTCTGTTACCTATTTCTTGATTCTTGTATAGGTTCAAAATTTGTGTTTCTCAGGTTCAAATCTCTGTTTCTTGTTTCCTGTAGAGGTTCAAAAATTTGTATTTCTTAGGTTCAAAATCTCTGTTCTCTGTTTCTTGTAGAGGTTCAAAATCTTTGTTCCCTGTTTCTTGTTTCGGGTAGAGGTTCAAGAATTTGTGTTTAGTAATCTCATCTTGTTCATATTTGTTAGGTTCTTGAGCTTGGAATCGTTTCACACTCGATCATCATCGGTATATCACTTGGAGTATCGCAATCACCTTGCACGATCCGTCCTCTGATCGCAGCACTATCGTTCCACCAGTTCTTTGAAGGATTCGCGCTCGGTGGATGCATCTCTCAAGCGCAGTTCAAGAACAAATCAGCGACCATAATGGCTTGCTTTTTCGCCCTCACGACACCGATAGGGATCGGTATCGGAACTGCAGTGGCGTCGTCTTTCAACTCTCACAGCGTCGGAACGTTGGTGACGGAAGGTGTCTTGGATTCGCTCTCTGCAGGGATTCTTGTGTACATGGCTTTAGTGGATCTTATAGCTGCTGATTTCTTGAGTAAGAGGATGAGTTGTAACTTTAGGCTTCAGATTGTTTCTTACCTGATGTTGTTTCTTGGAGCTGGACTCATGTCTTCTCTTGCTATTTGGGCTTAGATTCGGAAGATTCCATTGGTTCTTTTATAGCTATATAGCTTTACGAACAATATGTATAGTTCTAGAAATAATTAATTTGAGTTTCACAATTTCTTGATTCTTCGAACTCAAGACTGCTTGGTAACAACAGTGTTGAGATGTTGAGGTTAAGCAATGTAATGTTTCCAAAGTCACTTTCTTTGAATTTCGTAATATATTATTGTTGAAAAAAATCACATTTTTAATCATAAAATATTGTTTATTCAGTTCAAGAGAGAATTAACAATTAACTATAATATTTCTGAGTTAAAAATAAAATATTGTAAAGCAAAGCATCAAAGCAATGGCATTGGAGAAGGTTTTGATGCTCTGTTTTTTGGTTTGTTGAAACTTGAAACCCAGAAACTCTGTTTTTCTCTTTGATGCTATTGAACAATACTCATCTAATATTTTAGAGGTAATCAATTAAAAATAAACTCGCATGTTGCATTGAAGATAATGTTTTTCACACAACAACAACAACAAAAGAAGATACTGTTAGATCTTCATCATATCAGGATTTGCATGTCCATAGTTTAAACTGTTATCCATTGATCTTACCAAAAGGTGGTCGAAGCCAAGAACAATTACAACAGACAACAATATAGATTTTAGTAACAACAAACTCAACCCAAAATGTAAAACTTTTTTTAAAAAGACATGATTATGAAACCATCATAAAAAAAGCTAAGCTTTTTAGACAATGTCTTCTTCTTTGTGGGTCTCAATGGTAACATCAGAAGTAGGATAAGCCGCACAAGTGAGAACAAATCCTTCGCCGATCTGATCATCATCGAGGAAACTCTGGTCAGACTGGTCAACAGATCCAGACACAACTTTACCGGCACAGCTCGAGCAAGAACCAGCACGGCAAGAGTAAGGCAGATCGATTCCGGCTTCCTCCGCCGCGTCGAGGACGTAGACGTCGTCGTCGCACTCAACCTCTTGCTCTCCTTCTGGTGTGATGAATTTGACCTTGTATGTAGCCATGGCCGTGACGCGTCCGCCGCGTGAGGTGCCTGATTTGAGACCGAAGAGGGATTGAGTGTTGGCTGTGGGGAGGGAACGGAGGCTGATCGGTGATGTTTGACGGCGGATGAAGGAAGTTCCGACGATGGCGCTTGAGAGAGCAGTGGAAGCCATTTTAGTTTTCTCTTAAGATATTTGAGAATGTGAAGTTTTTTTTTTTTTGCTTTGGCTTGTGGAAATGGTGTGGAGAGTGTGAAGGAGGAGAGAAAAGATTAAAAGGGGTGAGATTGTTGTGAAACCCTATCTGCTACGTGGCGTGAAACGTGTGGATTGTTGGATTATCGTCTTTGTGTTTTGATGAATTTGTGATTTGTTTCCTTTTGTGTGATTATGTTTGACACACTTTTACACTATCTTGTTGTGGTGAGCATTTACGTGGTCTCACTTGGTACAGCTCACACACTACTCCGACTTCTTGTTTGTTTGTATTAAAAAAAAAAAAAAGATAAGTCGTCATATGTTTTATTATTAATTAGTAGTATCAGTTTTGTTTCCGCAACTGAGATTTTTATTTTTAAATTGAGGAAAAAGTTGTGCTTTTAACTAAAAAAAGATAACGTTTTTTAATTTTATTCTTGGTATTTTAGTTTTTAAAACAAAACTAGAATTTGGTTTTCTGGATTCTAAAACCAACAGTGTGTCTCTGAATTCTAAATTAAATAGAGGAGATTCCACTTTACTAAAAGGGGAGATTAAACAAAAAAAAAACAAAAAAAAGAAGAAAACACAATTAAAAGCTCCCCCTAGCCAAAAAATATATAAAGAAAAGACATTTTCAAGAAGAATTATAATATAAGTTGGATTCTGAATCAACCATACAACCTCCCTCTTCACTCTTTCCCACTTTCCCTTTGCTTATATAAATCTAAACCCGTAAGAAGCTTCTTTCTAACAGAAATTAACTGCCTCCAAGAACATTCCACATTCATCTTTCCCGCTTTTTCTTCGCTCCGTAACTCTCTCTCTCTCTCTCTCGCTCTAGTCGCACTTGATGTTTCTGTAGATTCTTCTAACAAACAGATTCGATCCTAAGAACCCAACAGCTCCTGCACATTTTTTTTTTCCAGTTATCAAACAATCTTCAGGACCAAACTAATGTCAACTTTTGAAGAGGAACGAGAGAGTGAGAGAAATGAAAACAAACTAACCACAAAGGATTCCGAGGCCGAGACAGAACATCAAGGTGTATCCGAAGTAGAAGCTGGTCTGGAAAAACCCAAACATCTTGGTCTTTACGTAGTAGTAATAGATCGAGTATAAGTAGACATAAACAGCAGTGGAAGCAGCAGAGAAGAACGATGTCCATTGCCAGTGATAGTTTTCAGCATTTAACAAGAAGTATGTTCCCACAATCGTCACACAGACAGTTACCACAACAAGAATCAAAAACACAAGCAGCATGAACCCGTACACGTAGTACACCTGTCACGAGACATCATCAAAGTAACTCATCAAGCAAAAAAAGGTCAACAGTAATTTTCTTTATCTTATCCCATTTGTAAAAGTTTTTTTTTACCTTGTAATTCCAGAAGGATGTGAAGACGAAGTACATTTCAATGAAGATGCTGCCAAAGGGTAAGAGACCTCCCATTAGAGAGACTACTGATGGAGTCAAGTACCATTTTTTCTCAGGGATCGGACGTGGGATTGTCTTCACGCGGCATGGATTGTTCGGAGCACCACTCCAGTTTCTACCGACGACTGTCCCGAGGAGGGCGAGAGGGAACGAGATGAAACCCCAAATTACGAAGACAACCACCATTGTTCCAAAGGGAATAGCCGCAAGAGATCCGTAGAATATGGCGATTGTGTTTAGGAGGAATCCGATCCCGAAGCACAAGAATGGGAAGAGGGAAGCCGTGAGGATCATGCACTTGATCCAATGTTTTCCTGAACAAACAAGCATGAGAGAAATTTGAAAACGAGTCGAGAGGGGAGGTATTATTATTGGAGAGATTGCTACAATACACCACAAAGGAGGATATAACGTACCCCCGCTTCTTGAGTACATTCCACCACTCACGTAACCAGAGATAAATGACGTCAGAGCGTAGCAAACAATGAAAGTTGTGACGATTGCGCCTCTCCTGAATAAAGTTAAACCAGAATGAGAGGTTTAAAATGGCAAGAATAAAAATTCAGACAAAAGGCTCACTCTTACTCCATGAAAATTAACAACATGACAGAAACTAAGAAGAGTGTATTACATACCCAACATAAAGTGTCCCAATGATAGCCATTAATATGACAAGAAGAACAAGCAAAGCCAACTGTGCACCTGTGCCAACAACAGCTGAGAGAAGAACCAGACTACGTGGTGGTCGGAACACATCTCCATGCACGAGTTTCCATCCAGATTCTTCACTTACATCTCGTTCCTGTGCTCAATATTACCAACTGTCAGAAGTTGCTCCACACTCTTGTACTTACAAGGAAGGAAAAAATTGACAAGTTTACAGCATAATAGTGGAAGCAAGAGAACTTTTGTAGCTATACTAGATAAGAGGTTGAGGAGATATTACCAGGCTCTCCAGGTCGTCGTCTTCCCGAGCATATTTCGCATAATCATTTCTGAGAGTCCTCATCAATATCATTGAAACCAAACCAGTGAGGAAGATAACCATCATGAACGAGTTAAAGATGGAGAACCAATGGATCTGCATCATGAAAGAAACCCTTAAAACCCCTTACAAAAAGCTCCCAAAAAACATCTTGAAACAAGGTTTTATCAATTTAATCAACAAGCGAGTAAAGGAGCATTCAGTGTAACATGTACCAAATTATGATTTACCTGGTGTTCAAAGAAAGGATAGTCTAGATAAACATCGAAACGACGAGCAAATGTGACATTGGTTGGGATCCATTTCACAGAATATGTCAAGTCCACTGTTCTCCCTGCTTCTAAGGGCCTTGGATTGTCTTGTGTGAGATTCACATGAATAATCTATACGAAGAAGAAAATTTCAGACCATGGAAGAGTTCATATGAGATCCTTAATACTGCTTAATGGCAAAGAAACAACACCTGGTCTTTGTTGTATTTGACAATAATATTCTTATGGGTGTAAAGAACATGCTTGCCGTTTTCATTATTTTTGCCAGGAGGCAGCTCGCCCACAAAGCCTATTAACAACAATGAGATAGTCAAACATTTATGTCAAGAACCGAAATTGACAAATTTGGTTGTTTAAAGTGAATATAAGAGGTATCATACCCCACAAAGGCAGGTCGTCTGAACTTGCATCCACGTACGCCATAAACATCATTTGTGACAATAAGAAGCAAGACAAAAGATTAGCAAACGAAGTTAAACGATGTAAGAATAGTTAATCTATGGTGTATTGGCTCATTGTAAACAATGTTTATTGCGCGGCAAGTTGAATTCCCTTGATAAGAAATAAAGACTTTCAATTTCAGATATAACAAATGGTAAATCTTTTACAATCGAGAGAATCAACTTTTTTATATGGATACTTGATACTTTCTTCATCAGTAATATGTACAAGTAAATGCAATACATACCCATAAATAATTCAAACCAGTAACTATTTTCGATGGCATCTTTGAAATGCTTGACCTTCGCTTCATTAAGTTCCAATTGACAGATCACGCTTCTGTCAACATTTTCTAAAACAGAAGAAGTCGATATAACTGTTGTGCAACCAAGATAACATTTTTTCAAAAAAAAAATTGGCATAAAAATTAACATACTTTGGAACTTTATGTCTATCTGGCTGTCGATGAGCTCATTTCCACCAAGGACCTCACCAAGACCACCCCATTTGTGAATGCTGTTTTCATTTTTGCGGCAAAACGGGAGGCTGTAATAGTTATATGTTTCTTGTGGATTATTATATGGGCCAACTTTGTTCACCCACAGAGTAACCTGCTCGTCAGCTTGATACTGGAAAAGTAAAAGCAGAGGACCAAATTTCATGACTTGCTAGAAATGAGAAGAGATGGAAAAACACAAGGGATCAAACAAAGAGGAATAAACCAAAACCCAAAAAGGATAACAAAGTAAAATATCAAGACTAGACATATATTGGATCTCTTAGTGTGCATGTAAAACATATACAAAACAAGGAAGACATCATCTTCTGGAAGAAAAAGGGAAACCATTACAAATCTTGTCGCTACAACACTATAGGGCTGAAATTTAAGAGAGACTACTTTTCTTTTGTTAGTCTACAAGATTGCTACCGTTAATGTTTGATCTGCTTTATCACATCTAATAGAAAGAAAAAAGTGGAAATTGCGGTAAAGGGTTGGACTAAATACTAATTTTAAGAGTAAACTTCACAAGAAAAAACACTCAAGGGCAAAAAGGGCAGCATGAAGGCAAAGCATTGCAGCTCAAGACACGATAACAAAAAACCACATTGATTTACAAAATCTGTCAACAATCCGGGTCAAAATTTTAAGTTAATTTAGAAACAGTTGATTCTTATATCTCCAGCCCTAAAATCCATCAGATCTACATGATAAAATCCATCAGATCAGTTAAAGCTAGACTTAACAAGGATCTGCAGGAGTATGTTTTAGTCCCACTCCTCTCTACTAAATGTCACAAATTGAAAAAGCAATCACACCAGAGAACATCCACTAACAATGATCGTTATAAATACCAAACCAAGAACACAAGTCAGCAATAATGAAGGCGTTTATTACATCAAGCAGTAATTGGACTTTCGCGACTTAAATCAACGAAACTTAGCAAACCTAATCCACAATGCCGCGAAAAGGAGAAACGTACAACGCAGTGGAGAAGCAACTTGCTAGAATTGCAAAGGAAAAAAAAAGGAAAAAGGCAGCTGGATCGAGCCTCCAATCTCTCAAAACCCCCGAAAAAGTAACAGATCCGAGCCGAAAAAAACAAACACAAGCAACATGCAACAGCGAGATCTAAGAGCAAAGAACTCGAATCGAGCTACAGCTAAGAAACAAACAAACAGAAAGAAACGGCAGCCACTAGGGGATTCAAATATAACCTTATGATCTGACTCGGAGGCCAAAACCGGAGAGAGAAGGGAGACGAGAAGAAGGAAGACGCAGGCGGTGACAAATTGGACGGCGGAGGAAGACGGCATATCGGAAGCCGGCGGAGGATCAGATCTGAGGGAGACAGATACGGTGATGGAGATGTGTTAGACCAATGACTCTTCTCGGAGATACGATTTCAGGTGGCAATACGCATAGGATGTTACAATTTCATCAGCTCTTTAATTATTTTTACTCTGATGCGAGCGCTCGATAGAACCACCAGAGATTTCTTAGCATATCGTTTTCGTAGAAGTTATATGATTGCACTCGATTTTACTATATTGATTGGGCCTTTTTAACTTATTTATTGGGCCTTCTATGCCTGAAAGCCCAATATTGTAATTTAATCGTCGATTAAAATAATTGGGTCAGACAAAACCCTCGGATCTTTTAGTATTTACTAAATACCACCAACCAAGTATTTTAGTATTTACAAATATCCTCATATTTTCGGTATTTACCATAAAAGTCCAGAGATTTTGGTATCGCGATCTCTCCGTATTTATGAAAAATGAAAAGTGAAAACATCATGTATCTCTATATATGTACTACTACTAAAAGCTTGATTGGTAATGTGAATGGTAATTCTGATTGATATGTGATACAAAGTATAATGTATTTATACAGAGGAGAGAATACCATAGAGTAGCGTAATTACAGGAAGAGAATATTGTTGTAATAATACAATTGATATGGTGTATCCTTACACGCCCCCTCAAGATGGAGAGACGGTAGTAACGCCAATCTTGTTACGCAGCTTAATGAATCTTGCCCGAGGTAAAGGTTTTGTTAGCGCATCCGCTAATTGATCTTTAGTGTTGACATGTGAGACCCGTAGGAGTTGTCTTTGTATATATCCTCGGATGAAATGATAATCAAGGGCCACATGCTTCATTCGGGAATGAAACACGGGATTCGCACATAAGAACGTGGCTCCCAAGTTGTCACAATACACCACAGGGGCAACAGGTAGAGTGATCCCAAGTTCTGTAAGCAAATTGCAAATCCATTTAATTTCAGAAGCTGTGTTAGCAACTGACCTATACTCAGCTTCTGTTGATGACCGTGCAACATTGGACTGCTTCTTGGAGGACCAAGAGATTGGTGGTTTTCCCAAGTAGATGACATTAGTGTTTGTTGAGATGTAATCATCAGTGTCACCGGCCCAGTCTGCGTTAGAGAACACATAGAGATGAAGTGAGTTGTTATTGGCGGGGAAGAAAATGCCTTCTGTTGCAGTTCTAGCTAAGTATCTAAGAGCCCGTTTGGCTGCCTGCCAATGATCTTCAGTCGGTCTGTGCATGAACTGAGACAAACGGTTGACCGCATATGTTATATCTGGCCTTGTTAAGGATAGTTATTGAAGACTCCCTACTAATCAGTGATAGTCAGACCCGATGTACTAGTGTGAAGCGTAAGTTTTGGGGATAATGCCATTGGAGTCGTAACAGGTTTGGCATCACTCATGTGGTACTTGTGCAGGAGATCAGCTACATATTTGCGTTGAGAGAGATGAAGGCCCTTGTTTGTGCGATGTGATTCGAGGCCTAGGAAGTAATTTAGATCTTCTGGGTCCTTGATTGAGAATCGTTTGGCCATGACAGAGAGTATTTCTTGAATAAGGACCTTGCTGCTCCCTGTAATGAGAATGTCGTCTACATAGATAAGGAGATAGACATAATGTGTACCTCTTCGGAGAACGAACATTGAAGCATCAGCAAGGGAATTTTTGAATCCGAGACCAAGGAGATGCTTTTTCAGTTCCAGATACCATGCTCTGGGATCTTGCTTTAATCCATACACTGCTTTGCGTAGGCGACAAACGTGCGTTGGGTTGTCTTTATCAAGAAATCCTGGAGGTTGTTCCATGTATACTTCCTCTTCCAGTGTCCCCTGAAGGAATGCATTGTTCACGTCTAACCGCTGAATTGGCCAGGAGCGAGATACTGCGATATCCAAGATCAAGCGGATTGTGGTTGATTTGATCAACAGACTAAACGTGGAGGTGTAATCCCGACCGTATTGTTGAGTATACCCTTTGGCGACGACTCAAGATTTACATATGCCAATAGCTCCATTGGGTAAGTATTAAACACCCAACGACAGCCAATTACATTCTTATTCGCAGAACGGGGAACAAGATCGAAGGTATGGTTCTGAGCAAACGCATCAAGTTCATGAGAGATGGAGTTTCTCCAGCGTTCATCTTTCAATGCCTGAGTCACAATGGTTGGTTCAATTGGGTTATTGGGGATTAGAAGGGCGGAGAGATTCATCCGGGTGATTGGTTTGATAATGTTGTCTTTCAGGCGAGTTTCCATGTCGTGGCGTTTTGGGGGTATCGACTTTTTCGGTGGTTTGGATTTTGATTTTCGTGGTGGCTGAGAGGAGGATGACGAGGGTAGGGAATTAGGATTTGTGAGATTAGGAGTGGGCTGTGGGATTGGTGTTGGGCTTGAGGGTAGGTTTTAAGGTGTTGTATTGTTATTGGGCTGGGTTTGTATTTGGGTAATTGGTATTGGGCTATTTGGTGTTGGGCCTTGTGGGGGTACCTGTGTATTACTTACATTGGTTTTGTCGTTCTCTGTCACGAGAGGAGCGTGACTGTTGACGTCGTCTTCTATCGCCGGCATCGCTTCCTGGTGATGGTCGGAGCTCGTGGATCCCAACGGCGGCGTTGACTGAACGAGTGGTGGTGGAAGAGGAAGGCTAACAACTGGTGGTGTGTTGAGATTCAAGGAAGGTGATTCGATTTGGGGTCTAGCGGAGGTTGAATTTCTAAAGGGGAAAATTTGTTTATCGAATTGGACATGACGGGAGGTATAGATTCTTCCGGAGCTCGGTTGTAAGCATAGATACGCAGTTTGCATTAGAGAATAGCCCAAGAAGACACATGGTGTGGATCTGTTTTCAAGCTTATGCGATGTGTACGGTTGGAGCCACGGTAAGCAGAGACAGCCAAATATTCGTAGCTTCATATAATTGGGTGTATCTCCAAACAGCTTTTGATACGGGGACTCCATTGCAAGCACCGGAGTTGGAAGACGGTTGATCAGGTAGACGGCAGCAGAAAACGCGTATGTCCAATATGTTTTGGGCATGGCGGCATGAGACAATAGAGTCAGACCGGTCTCCACGATGTGGCGATGTTTCCTTTCAGAGACACCATTGTGTTCTGGAGTGTGTGGCGGTGAAGTGAAGTGAGATATGCCAGCGTCGGATAGAAGAGATCTGAGAGCAATAAACTCGCCGCCGTTATCCGAGAACAAGGTACTAATAGTCACATTGAATCGTTTTTCCACAAGAGCTTTGAACGGGATGAATGTTTCACGGACTTAGGATTTTATTTTGAGAGGATAGAATCATGTGTACCGAGTGTAGTGATCAACAAATATGACATAGTACTTATAGTTATCGAGAGAAATAACAGGGGAGGTCCACACATCGGAAAAGATGTATTGTAGTGGACGAGTGGAGGTAATAGATGTTTGAGGGAATGGCAACTTGTGGCTTTTATTGATGGAACAATCAGAACATAAAGTGGCTTGAGACAAAGATTTAGAATGAGGAAGTGAAAAACGAGAAATAACATGCTGAAAGAGGCGGATGGGTGACCAAGGCGATAATGCCAGTCATGGTCCGAAGTTTTGGGTGTAGAGGTGGCAAAGATAGAGACTAGGGTTGTAGGAGACACCGGCCACTCATACAAATCACCATTAGTTTTGCCGTGGAGCAATGGGACCCCCGAGTTCAGATCCTTCACCTGAAAGGACGCAGGAAAGAATTCAACAAAAACTTTGTTAGTGTTACACAGGCGGTAAACATATATTAGGTTTTTATGGAGGTTGGGTACACAGAGGAAATTGTTGAGGACTAAATTGCGAGAAAGATGAGGCATAGAGACAGAACCAGTATGCGTGATGTTGAGACCAAAACCATCTCCGATAAGTACTGCTTCATGGCCTTGATATGGTTGGTGAAGAGAGAGATTATGGAGATCGCTTGTCATGTGATGGGTTGCGCCGCTATCCATAAGCCACGCTGCATCTTGAGTATGACCTTCCATGGCGAGATTTGCACGGGGTTGCCAAGGCGGAAATGTGTTGTTAGCAGAGATGGTGCTGGTTGCGTGATTAATGAGCTGGCTGCACCGCTTGGCACTGTGGCCATAAACTCCACAGAGTTGATATTTCCCTTGGTATCCACTTTGATGTCCTCGTGAGCTTCTGTTGTCTTTCAAGTTACTGTAGTGATTGTTGTGCGTGTTTCGGTTCCACTGATGCGATGACTTATGTTGTGAATTGTAGGATTGTTGTGGATGACCTTGATATTTGTTGGTGGCTGCATTCGCAGTGATCGGAGCTGTCGTGAGAGAGGCAGATGAGATGGTGAGGAGCTTTGCTTCTTTGTTGAGAAGTTTTTCATGAACTTCTGTGAGAGACGGAGTTTCATCACGGCCCTCAAGCTGATCTACAACTGCTTTGTAATCCTCTGGTAAGCCTTCAAGAAGATACTCGATTTGATCTTCATGTTCGATAAGAAGAGCAAGTTGATCAAACCTTGTTGTGAGACCTTGAACATACTCGTCAATGGTTTTAGTGCCTTTGGACCACTGTTTGATTTGTAGTTTCAGTTTTTGAATGTGTCCTCGGCTTGGTTTAGCGTACGTGGCGGCAAGAGTTTTCCATATGTCTGCAGCAGTAGTAGTCGTTGAGACAAGGGGTTGAACCGAAACAGATATAGCACCAAGGAGTCCGTTGTAGATGAGTCTGTCTTGTCGTTTCCAGAGTGTATACGCTGGATTTAATGTCGTTATGTTGTTGGTTGTGATTGTTGTAGGTGGTGGTGGAGTGGATCCATCAAGATGACCAGACAGATCATAACCGTCGAGAAGAGCATGCACTTGAAGGCTCCACATCATATAATTTGTGGTGGAGAGCTTCGTCACATTTGACATATTGACGTTGAGAAGTGCATGTGGGGTGATATCGATGGTATCGGAAGATGTTGTCGACATGATTTAGCAGAGAAACAGAGGAGTGCAGGAAAGAAGAAGAGAGAGGAAAAAGAAGAAGATGTCGACAAAGGAAAGAAAAAAAAGTTATGGGATCGTAATCTGCTCTGATACCATGTGAATGGTAATTCTCATTGATATGTGATACAAAGTATAAT